TACTTTTTTCACAGTGGGTACAGCACCTTATCGTTGTCTAAAAATACGATGTTCTGTACAACAATGACATTTAACAAAACAATAGAGACATCCTGAAGCGACTAAAAACCATCCAAATGCTTCTGTTCGAGAGATTGCTGTGCTGCTGATCCTCGCTAAAGCAAAAAAACGCAGGCTAAACGAATGTCAGAATCGCCAGCAGCTGACCATCGGGTGAAGTAGCATTGATCAAAACAACTGTAAAAGTTGCCAAGTGCATAACTGAAGCAGCCTACAGCTGACTGGACTAACAAAGTATGAATGATCAAGAACATCTGCGAGTTTTTCTCTACCAACCATTTTCCAGTAACCATTTTTTACATGGCAAATGTACAGGCGAAGGGTTTTCGTCTCCCCCCACCCCCACCTCTCTCTTAGTGGCACAAGCACCAGTGCTGCAGAAGCCCGGTCTGTTCATAAATAAAACCAAAGTAACTTTAAGTAGTAGTGTTACAACTCTATTCCTAGTTTTTGCATAGTTCCAAGGTGAGAGGAGGTGGTGAAGATTCATTACAAATTAACTACTAGTTCTACAAAAATGAATATTCTCAAAAACCGAACCTGATCAGGTACTTTGCGCATGTCTTTTTGTGCATGGTACCAGTCGCTCAAGTCCGAATTCGTATCGGCCGATTCTGGTGGTTCTCTGTACTCAATGCCATTCACACAGCGACTGCATTTCAAACTGTAATAAATATTTAATTAATTAGTAATCGGTATCTTTGCTAATGGACCAAGCGCTGGTTATCAAGAATATCCACAGAAATACAGCAGAAGCCGCAGCAGTGTGGTAAATAAAACTTGGCTTGGCTTGGCCGCTCAAAATGCGCTCATTTTGGAAGGAAACCTACTCGTTAATAGATTTGATGAAGAGATATAAGAATTTTGATTGTACACAAGGGATCTTTATTTAAAAAATCCGGCTATTATCGTGGAAATTAGGTTTGTAAATCCAGCATAACTTTTAGGAACTATTTTTTAACTGAACGGAGTACTAACGAATTATGTGTGTCGGATGTGGTATCTGCCTTCAGCTCAAATAAATGACGCAATTGGTCCTTACTAAAATGCCGTGCCACATCGGCGGCTTCGTCCACAACACATGATGAGAGGGCTTTCTTGTGTGCTTGACGCTGGAACATTTTTTCCTCGATTGTTCCGGTCTGTAAATTCAAACCCGAATATCTCTTCACTGTGGCCACGAAATGGCAACACAGATACACACACACACCAGTAACATCTCAGTGATTTCTGTGTATACAGCTAAGGGATGAAACACAGACTTACGAGATAGTAAAATGTTCTTCGGCACATGACACTTAAGACCAATCTTTCCATTCTACTATTTCCTGCTAGGAGGGCTGTTAAGCTTATAATCTGTTCAAGAGACGAAACTAACGTCAGCATGGTCAACACAACATACTCACCACTGAGCAAAACAGCATTGGTGAAACAAATGGAGAAGTTGTCAGCTGCATAGACGAATTACAAACGGTGAATTAAAAGCTGTTTTGGGCAGCGCAGATATGTGTTTTTAATGCTGCAAAGCTTAAAAAGACAAAGACGGTTGAACTGATCATCTATAGAATAGTGGCCTGAGGAAAGTGTCCGAGGATGTGAATGTCAGATTCAAGTGGTTGCATCTGAGTCTTAATCAGCCTCAACCTCAAGGGTTCCTCAGTTCACAAACCGAGCAAGTCTGACAACAGTCCCTCATCTAAAATAA